ATCAACTGGTGGTGGCCGAGGCTTGCCATCTTTCGAGGTGCCATCTTTGGAGGCACCATCCTTAGGGTTGCCATCTTGGGGGCTGCCGTCTGTAGGGCCTCCATCTGCGAGGGAAGAGAACAGTTAGAGAGAGGGGACCTTGTGGCATGACAGGACAGGAATGGAGAATGGAGGCTCTGGCGGGTGGTGGTGTTGGTGATAGTGATAATAACAATAATAATGATAATGATGGTGGTGGCGATGTGATGGTGGTGGTGGTGGTGGTGGTGGTGATGATGGCGATGACGATGATAACAGACAACATACGGATATGGCAGTAACTTTAAGATAGTAGGGGGAGAAATGGAACGACCAAAGAAAAGGGCGAGTTGGTGTGAAGGTGAAGGCGCGGACATGGAAGTATGTAAAGAGGAAGAAGGGGGGGGGGCAAAGAGAGATGAAGTGTGAGGGGAAGGGGAAGGGGGAGAGGAGATGAGAGGGTTACAGAGAGAGAGAGAGAGAGAGAGAGAGAGAGAGAGAGAGAGAGAGAGAGAGAGAGAGAGAGAGAGAGAGAGAGAGAGAGAGAGAGAGAGAGAGAGAGAGAGAGAGAGAGAGAAAGAAGAGAGAAAGAGAGAGAAAGAAAGAGAGAGAGAGAGAGAGAGAGAGAGAGAGAGAGAGAGAGAGAGAGAGAGAAAGAAGAGAGAGAGAGAGAGAGAGAGAGAGAACAGAGAGAGACAGACAGAGACAGACAGACAGAGAACAGACAGACAGACAGACAGAGAGAGGAGAGAGACAGACAAGAGAGAGCAGACAGACAGAGAGAGAGAGAGAGACAGAACAGAGACAGAGAGAGAAGAGAGAGAGAGAGAGAGAGAGAAGAGAGAGAAGAGAGAGAGAGAGAGAGAGAGAGAGAGACAGAGAGAGAGAGAGAGAAGAGAGAGGAGGGGAGAGAGATAGAAGAGGAGAGGAGAGAAGGAGAGAGAGAGAGAGAGGGAGACAGACAGACAGACAGACAGACAGGTGTGTGTGAAGGGGCGCCATAAAAATGGACAATTGAACGCCGTGCATATAAAACACACCTGTATAATAGAGCGCCATGAGTGACCCAAGCTGAAGCCGACCTTGGCGCGACTGGCTGTATGTAGGCCACGCACGCCCCCGATCGCAATATCACGGTCTTCAGCTGCGCTCGCTTCGCCATAGTGCAACGTATACACGACAGGGTAATATCAGATAATAGCATGTGGGTCGCCGTCCTCATGCACACCGTCATGACTTCTATAAAACCGAACCCCGAGCCTGGTTCGCACCATGACGCCCACCAGTGCGAGTGTAACATGACGCTGCTGGCGAACCGTCCCTCCTCCCTCCCCGCCCCCTAGGCCCTCTCTCACTTTCCCTCTCCGTGCCCCGCGCCTATCTTCGCCTTTCACATAAACACGTTGTTCATGACCAGTACTTCTGTTACCTCCCTCACTCTCCGCCGTCCCTCATCGCTTGAATGGGTATTCTCTGCCCTTCTCTTCTACCTTCATTTTTGCTCCTCCTTCCCAATCTTTTCTTCCAGGCGTTCATAATAAATTCGCACCGAAATATCTTTCCATGTAAAAATGCTAGCGGAGAATCCAGTCTGCTATGTACGGAAAGAGCGCCTGCAGATAAAATACAAATGTTATCTCACCATAGTCAATTTACTAAGATGGCTTACAGGAACGCACTATAATGCGAGGCAATAACCGCGACAAACCTACAGCATCAGTATACACGACCAGAACCAAAAAGAATTCGGCACAAGCACGAAGACTTGTATTTATAGAAGCTCCGCAGACCATTGAGGTATAACTGTAAATTATCCGGCACGAAATATTTTGACATAAATCCTTACTCACGCAACACTGTTTCCATACAAGAGAAAACAAAGTAGGGAGGAGGGTATGCCAAGGAAAGTTAAGGAGGGGGGAGGGGGAGGGGGAGAGGGAGAAGGAAAGTGAAAGGGAGAGAGAGGGTGAGAAGAGGAGGAAGTAAAAGGAAGAAAGTGAAAAGGAGAAGGAGAATGAATAGAGGAAAGAAAATAAAAGAGGAGAGGGGAAGGAGGAGAGAGAGAGAGGAAGGGGGGAGAGAGAGGGAGGGGGGAGAGAGAGGGGGGAGAGAGGAGGGAGGGGAGAGAGGGGAAAGAAGAGGGAGGGGGGAGAGAGGGAGGGGGGAGAGAGGGAGGGGGGAGAGAGGGAAGGGGGAGCCGAGAGAGGAAAGGAGAGAGGAGGGAGGGGGAGAGAGAGGGAGGGGGGAGAGAGGGAGGGAGAGGGAGGGGAGAGGGGAGAGGGAGAGAGGGAGAGAGAGAGAGAGAGAGGGAGGGGGAGGGAGGGAGGGAGGGAGGGAGGGAGGGAGGAGGGAGGAGAGAGAGAAGAGAGAGAGAGAGAGAGAGAGAGAGAGAGAGAGAGAGAGAGAGAGAGGAGGGAGGGAGGAGGGAGGTGAGGGAGGGAGGAGAGGAGAGGGGAGGGAGGGAGGGAGGAGAGAGAGGGAGGGAGGGAGAGGGAGGGAGGAGAGAGAGCAGGAGGGAGGGAGGGGAGGGAGGGAGGGGAGAGCGGAGCGAGAGAGAGAGAGAGAGAGAGAGAGAGAGAGAGAGGAGAGAGAGAGAGAGAGAGAGAGAGAGAGAGAGACGAGAGAGAGAGAGGGAGAGAGAGAGAGAGGGAGGGGTAGGAGGGGGAGGAGGGAGGGAGAGAAAGGAGGGGACAACGCATCGGGGTCAGGGGGAGGGAGACGAGGGGGTCCTCAGGGGGAAGGCGAGAGGGGAGGCGGGAGAGAGAGAGAGAGAGAGAGAGAGAGAGAGAGGCAGAGAAAGAGAGAGAGGAGAGAGAGAGAGAGAGAGAGAGAGAGAGAGAGAGAGAGAGAGAGATCATCAGTACAAAAAACCTTGCATATTCAGCCACAACACTACTTTCGAAACCTTTCCCCTTAGACTGTTGTTCCCCAGGGCCAGGCGTTGGTCCTTTGTCCCGCAGCCGATCCCTCCGTGTACTCGTCACTCATTATGAGGTTTGAGAGGGCCAGGAAAGAGCCAATTCAAGTATACATATACGCAATGATGGCAGGACCTCTCGCTCACCCACATGAAGACTCCCAACAGACGACAAATCCGCGCCGGACAAGCAGACAGGGGTCAGTAACTTCTACGAGGAACGTACCGTCACTAAACCCGAGAAGAATATACTTTAAATGGCTCGGACAGACGCAGACAGGCGAGAGACAAATAACCACAGACATACGCATAAAAAAGAAAGGACAGAAAGAAAGAAAAAAGAAGCAAGCGGCACGCACATGCATCGCTGCCCCTCCCTCGGTCGTGAGTCACGCGTGGTGCAAGTGCTTGGGGGTTACGTCTGCCAAGAAGCGATCGTTGCGCTCGCCGATACGTCTCGCCTCAGTAGCTATCGGGGATCGGAGAGGGGCAGTCGGGTCATGCAAGCACGGGCAGTCAAGTCCAACACTCCTAAAGCCCTTAATTCACGCGGTCATCGCCAGAGCTTTCTTCAGTTTATATTTATGACCCGCCGCCCACCGAGCCAGAACACGATCGCCGGCGCCGCTCCATTGGCGATTTGATTTTAGCAGCGCTCGAACGGCCGGGAACTTCCACAATGACCCTAGCGACTGTCCACAGTTGTTAACAGGCTTTAAAAGCACACCGTTACCATTCGTACACTTCTTGAAACGGAATCCATTTGAATCCTACCATTATCTAGTTTTGCAACTCAACTACACAGGATAACCTTACAAAATAAGTGACCAGCAGATGTTAAACAATAAACATTGTTTATCTAATGAGCAATCAAGCTGAACACTTTAACACCATGCGAAGAAAGGTCAAATGAAGCATATCACTTAAAATCTCAACTAGATCTGATCATGTACCGTGCTAAGTTATCATTACACTGCAAAGCATTGTCGATTAGCACCGTCCTAAATATAATATATAAAGAGTAACTACATGAGGACACCGTTTTAACAAAATAATCGAGAATTCCCAAAGCTGTGACGACAGCGCTTTTCCAATAATGGCAAAGCATTGTCTGGCGCATGTATGGCGAGTTCTGTTCCGTCACCGCTCGTGGAGGTTTTAAAATGTGAAGCTGGCTGGGGACTGGTTCTGCAGCATCGGCTGCGGCAGATCTGTGCCCATGTTTAGAAATGTCGAGGAAATATTACCCGACTCTATTCTGCGTCCATATCCCTACACAAGAAAGCACCATCTTAGAGTGTATTTTTCCTCCGACAATCATTCTCCATCATGAACTCTTCCTCCCCAACAGTTTTGCCGCAGTGCCCCCCTCGTCGATTGCGTTAGACGACTATGAGCTCTACTGGAGGAGTTAAACCTTTAAAAATGACATGGCCACGACAAACGGCATGCGGCGAGGTCTCCCGGTGGCACCATCATGTGTCTGGTGTCGGTGCCGCCGCATCCGAGGCTGGAGCGCTCGTAACCTTCTCATGACTCACCAGGAACTGCCGGAGCGCCGAGCTCACCCTGGCTCCCTGCTCGCCCCGACTGCAGACCCCCCAGCGCGTGCAACCTTTGCTCTTCATTCGTGTACATTTACAACAACAGCACAAAAGCAATGTAATTCAACCAGTTCGGGGAATAAATAGGTATATTGGTTAAGTTGCTACCAAGGAACATGTGGTAAGCAGGAGAATTACAGTTAAATAGTACAGATATAGAACCAGAAAGGTATTGATGTCAGCTGACTGTCCACTATGCCCGAAATAACAAGACTAAGAGAAGGTAGCTAGACATATACGATAGATTAGATAGACTGACTAATATTCGATAGAACTGAGATGCGAGAGTCAGAGGTCTTAGGGGAACCCGAGAGAGTCAGAGAGCAGACTGAGAGGAGATCGACGGAGATGGGAGAGCAGAGAGCAGCCAACCTGTTTACGAGCAGAAGGCAGAGACTGAGAGAGAGCAGAGCCAGAGACGACGAGAGAGAGCCAGAGGAGACGAGAGGAGAGGGAATGAGGAGGAACGGAGGCTGAATGAGAGAGCCATAAAGAGGAAATCAGAGGAGGGACCAGAGAAAGCCAAAAAGAA